ACACACACACACACACACACACACAATATCTCATGTATTATGAGGTTTTTCAACTCTAGTTAGTGGATATAGGAACCATTCCTGATAAGAGACTTTTTACTCCAGTGCTAATGGGATCTCACCTGAAGACTCCAGGGCAGTAGTTCTCAACCTTCCTAATGCCACAACCCTTTAATACAGTTCCTCATGTTGTGGTGACCCCCAATTTCATTGTTACAAATTGAACATAATTAAAGCATAGTGATTAATCACAAAAACAATATGTAATTATATATGTGTTTTCCGATGGTCTTAGGCGACCCCTGTGAAAGGGTTGTTCAACCTCCAAAGGGGTCGCGACCCACAGGTTGAGAACCGCTGCTCCAGAGGAACCCCCTGCAGATCTAAGAAAGGCAGCATTACTCTCCTCACAAGCTGTTGAGAGGTTAAATAAAATTAACATTTGCAAAACACCTAACCAGTGTCTGGCCCCAAACTGGCACTGACCGTGAAAGAACATCCAGCCCTTAGAAAAGTTGTAGAACTTTAATTTGAGCCAACTTTTGAGGACATGCCCGGAAGTGAAATCTTACACGGGACTGAGATAATGCTCTGGGTAAGGGCAGCTTTGCAGTCTGTGTTTTAGACATTACAATCAAAGGAGGAAGCATAAGGGGAGCTACGTGACATCATTGGTGGTAGATGGGGGAGGCAGGAGAAGGAAAAGCAGGGGGAAACTCTGCCCCGCTCCCCGCACCTGCCGGAAGGGTGTGGCAGAGCAGGGATGCCTACCGTCCCTCTGGCATCTTAGGGGGTTTCAGTCCTAACGCACAGGGCCGCTCCCTTCAGCCTCAGTTTCTCCAGCTCTACAATGAATGATCTAGGAACGGACGTCCGCCCCCCAGTGGGAGTGGGAGGGTGACGGGGCGGACGCACGTGAAAAGCTCCACGGAGCCTTCCCAGACATCAGGGCTCACTACAATTGCCCTGGAGCTTAGACATTTCTCTCTGGACAGGCTTTTTTAGAACGGATGCCCGGGCTACAGCACAGCAGGAAAGGCCGGGACTCCCCGGGAAACATGGCTACCTCAGCATCAGAGAAGCGGCCCTAGAGTCCTATGCGCGTGCGCCGGGCCCCGCTCCTTCGCCGCCCAGCTTCGCCCGCGCGTAGGATTCTGGGGCGGCCAAGCCACGTCGCGCGCCAATTGGTGGTGTTCGGGGCCCGCCCTCGGGTGATTGACAGCGCCCT